AAAAGTTGCAAAAAAAGCTTAAGGTATATCCAAGATTAGACGAAAGGCATGAACCACAACCTTGTTATATTCTTATTAAGAAAATGAAAAATAAAAGGCCCAAGAATTAACAGATATGATTCACATGGTTTAAAATGTCCAGAAGACAGTTTGTTGCGGCCAGTACATGATACCTGGTCGAATATCACTGTAGGGATGGCAAGTGTCGCCACTGCATTAGGGGCGTCTACTATTCCAGATATCCTACCTTCACATGGACAGCATGACAGTAAAATATAGACCTGCATACAACCCAAAGTCAAGAACATTTGATAATATCCCTCTTACATGATATAGACCTGCATACGACCCAAAATACATTGTGATAGTTAATAATCCTAGTGCCTACCTGCTCCTTGGAGTACCCAAATCTAGAAAGGTACTCAATGGCGTTGAGAACTGCACGCTTGTAGGCAACTGATGCATCAAGGAAATGTTGTTTCCCTGACTCATCCACGCTGATGCCCTCGAAGACTAACCATTCCGAGAAATGCGGCTCCACCGGACCTATCTCAAAGATAGGATTTACATGAAGTGGTGATGGACCAACAGGAGTCAGGTATTCCTTCATGCCACCTCTTATGATCTCACACCTACGTGAAATAAATCATTAGAGTTTCACAAGCACGCCGTGAGAAGTAAATCACATAGACAATTCTTTTGTTATGCAACTAGCAAATTCAGCAACTCATGTAAGCTTAATCAACTGAGAATTGCAGTTTGTTAGGCTTAGGTACGATATAAGTTGATAATGTGGTGAAATATAGCTATGCACTAGTATCTGTTTCTCTCTACGCTCTGCCCCATCTGAATCTGACAGGTTTCAAGCAAGCAGCTGTTAAGACTCAAGATGCTTCCTGCTACTGTGCCAACCTAGTTTCTTGATAAAGAATGTTGAAACTTAACAATGGGAATTTCTATTACATTAATGGATCTAGGTTGTCCAGTAAACAACTACTCCTGAGATACCACTCATACCAGCCGCATTTAGAATGTAGTTAGTGTGACAACTGACAAGTATTGAAAAGTGTAGAGAAGAACAAATTAAGGTAATTACTTTAGCTCAAGGAATCCACTCATTTCTATTGCTCCGCAAAATGAAACTTCACCGTCTCCTTGGGAGAAGTGCATATCACCAGTACTCAAATTTGCTCCTTCAACAAATACCGGTAGATAAACCTTGGAACCTCTGCCTAGATTCTTTATGTCACAGTTTCCACCATTCTCTCTTCCAGGAATTGTTCTTGCTGCTTCATTTGCAATTTTTTCCCATTCAGCAGTCCCTTCCTGGGTCTGCAGAACATTGCATGCCTTGTCAACATAGCTCTTTGACCATATATAAACAAAGTATCGATGAACATATGGGACTTGAGGTTGTTTGGATTGCTAATTATATGAAGCTGACCACTGAATCTGATTTGTTTTTCCTGGCTGGCAATTCAATTTTGTGGAGTATATTCTGTTAATCTGTTCAGTCTACCTATGCCGGCGGTGGTGCTATTTTTTGTTGTTAACCTTTCGCAAACTGTTCTTTGACTCCGTGTCGTGGTGGTTAGCCAGACTTGGTCTATCACCTCTGTAACGAGTGTTTATTAGAGGATTAGAGATCTTCTCAACTTCATCAAATTTGAACTAAAACCAAGTCATTTATTGTGGGACAGGGGGAGTAAATAGTATCTGCGTCCAAAAACTATTGTACTGGAATTATGGGCCATAAAACAAGATTAATCCTTTTTTATTCATTTTTCGAGAAAACGCAAGCTTGCATCTCAGATGCATCGGCAGAAAGGAAGCACGTCATACCTTCCCAAGTAAGCAGTTGTGGGAGGTTGGTAAGCTAGCAAGGGGTCTCTGGTGTAGAACTTGACACAATTTCAGAGACTCATGACCCGCCTCGACCAATTCTCTTTCCCTTTGGTTCCATATATTGAGAAGCTCAGCTGACGGTGCAGTTCCCACTATACCAGGATGAGTTAACCCCGGAAATCGAACACCTGGTATGCACAAAATGAACTCATTTAAATGATCCAAAGCTCATAAATATGATTCATTTAAAGTAGTATATATAGCAGCAACTTGTACCTGGTATCTGAGGGGAGTGCGCGTAAATTCCTTCGAAATACCAAATGGCTTTCCTTGCACTCGGGAAGTGGTCAGTTAAGAACCCACCTCCATGCTCCCTGTCAAATGTTCCAGTATAACCCCACTCGTCACCAGGAAGCGGGCCGAGGTTGCAGATCTCCACGGCAAGAAGATCACCCGGTGAAGCTGGAACCCCTTCGGCATCGACCACTCTAAGGGGGCCGCTGAGATAGTGAGGCTGTGGAAAACCCATATTCAGTTTGTTGGCACAATTAACACTTGCTTTTATTTGATGCACGCATGAGAGAAATCCTACTCTACTAGAATAAACAGAACATCAAACCATAGTCAATGAACATGAGCAACTTCCAAATCCGATCTAGCAACATTGAACGATCTTCGGCGCCTTGTCTAACGAATCCGGCAACTATGCATGACACAACATTTCATCCATAAAAGTAAGTAAATGCATATATACTTACAGCTGCAAAATCCAGAGATTTGATATCGTCCGCCGAGTCATCATCTTTAACTTGCCCTCCGGTGCAATCGACCATCTCAACACGGAATAATTCCCCTTGAGTCACATCGGCGACCGGAGGGATCTCCGGGTGCCAGCGGTTGTGGAGAGGAACCTCCTGCTCCCATGGCTTCTTCTTTACATCTATGGGCACTACAAGCCTCGGAGTGAGAGGAGCCATGTTAATTTGTTATGCCAGCTTCAGAGTTCAGAGCTTCATCGTCCCTTTGTAAGGCACCCTTACTACACGCATTAATTCCCGGAAAATGGCGACGTGTGGCCGGCCGAGATGGAAAATCTTTGAATGCATTCAGGCGTTGTGTGTGTAGGTGGTGCGTGCAGCCTTGCAAGTGCAGCACATGCAAGCGCAGCCAAAGCTCGCTGATGCAGCATGTCTGGATGTATTCTCACGTCACCCACCGTTTACGAACGGTTCAGCGGTACTGCAATAATGCAGCCGGCGGAGGGTGGCGTATTGTTCGTTGTCTCGCATGCGTCTATGAATTACTGTTGGGCAAATAAGCCGCGGCGGACATGTCGAGCACGTGTATGGGCGCGTCGGGCCCGTGGCGGGGTCGCGTGTGTGTGCGTGTGAGAAACATGGGGGTGCGCGTGTGTGCGTGATCCCAGTGCGTAGGACTAGGGCCAGACCATTGGCGAGGAGTGCGGGGTGCTCGTGTGCGTTTTGTTGGAGGCCCGCCGTGAGCAGCGCGTGTTGGAGCGTGTCGTGGTCACGCGCGAGGCAGGCGGATCGCGGGCGTGAGGGAGAGGGAGCGAGGGTGCGTGCCCGGGCGCAGTGATCATTGTAACCGTGTGGTGTGGTGCTCGAGTTCGAGCTTGAGTGAAACAGCTGTTGTTGCGGCCGTGGTGTTCGTGCGCCGGCAAAATCCACTGTCCACGGCGTCTCCTTCTTCCTCCTTCCTTCTTCTACCTCGGTTTGTGTCACAGAGAGCGAGAGCGATAGGTAGAGAGCAGCAAGGGCGAGCTAGGGTTTAGGGCGGTAACAACATTTGGTACCAGAGATGCTAGTATTTAGTTACGTTTCACCCCGCACAGCACACATACGCTTTATATTTATAAATCTTGTTCAAGAATTTGTCCGATTAACTAGTTAACTACTTGCCAATTAATCCCTACTCATAGGGTCACCGAGTAGCCGATAAACTGATAAATCGTTCAATTAATGAATCAACTTGCCAATTAGCCTATTAATACTCTACTCGTCAGCTAACCGAGCAGCTACTAGTTAACGATTTCGTCAAGAATGTTTACAAATTGTTGAAAGTGAAACTGGATTTATAGTGTTCAACTGGATGGGATAATGGGCACGACATGATTCGGCATGTGTGTGCCCTCAAATTGAAACGGTCAGGCTGGCCTTCTGGTCGAGTCTCGACATATATTCTTAGTATATCACCATCGCCGGCCAGCCGGCCGACCGGCCGGCGAGGCGATGATTGGATCCTGGCTGATTAAGAATTCGCCGCTACTGCTCACTGCATCCGGTCAGCAGAATGGCCGCCGCTCCACCCCTCGCCAAAACAAACAGGCAAAACCGTTATTTATTGATCAATCTTTGACTAGCTAGCACGTACTCCAAAAAAAAAAACAGCTGAACCTTAAACAGTCGCTCTGTTCTACACCAGCATGCAATCGAATTATACTAAAGGATGATTAACAGGAACCGAAAACTGATTCATAATAAAGGGTGTCATATACCCCCAACTGATGTGTAAATTAATAAATTGGACATGTTAGAGCGGGCATGAAGATTGCGGAAACATATGAAGCACCAAAGAAATGACAGCCCTGCCATTGTCGATGACCGACAAACACACCGCGGCTGAAGAAGAAGATGCATGCACAGATATCAGGGGTTGACTCCTTGAAGCCGGGTTCCGGTGTAGCATCCCATCCCAGACAAAGCCCAACATGGCAACATCTCAACAGTCTGCACCTAAGATGTAATGAAGCGAGACTTGCTGCAAGACAAACTTACGCAGTCAAACAGGGCACACGAGCCCGATTTCCGTTAGACATGGCAAAGTCCCGGCCCAATTTCCAATTCTGATACGTATACAGAGCAACCTTCTGACTACTAACCATGACACAGCAGGACTTGAACCAACCTGAAACTGTTCTGGTCATCTGGTGAGTCGCACCCAACCCAACATCCAACACTGGCCAGATCTTTTCAGGGAGAGGGCCGGAAGGTAGAAAGCGAGAAAACTAAATGTAGCGATAATGGCCAGCAAAGGACCGCCCTTACAGACTAATAAAAGGCTTTACCCCTACAATACGACCGAGCCCACATCTTAGTTGCCTTGAGTGGTGGAAGCAGCAGGGCCTGGTGCAGCACCTACAAAGGAATCACTGCCTGCGGGTCCTTCTGGAAACTGAAAACTGCACAAAACATACAATGCACAATAAGCTTGGGCTTGTGAGGGCGACATATACATGAGCACTCAGATAGGCCTCAAGACTCGAGAGGGTTCGCGCAGTACTGTCGCATGCGTGTAACTTGCATATCAATCTGATGAAACGACAACAGGCTAGGAGCAACAGCGAAAACAAGAAGCCAAATGCAGTTTCTCTTTACTAGATGGACACGAAACACTACACTCTAGGATTATGTACTCTGTTATTCTAAAAAAAAGGGATTATATCCCCTGTCAGCTGGAGATTTTCAGTAAAATTTAATCTATCAGCTAGAACGACAGCAAAGGTAAACTGCATTTCGAGATAAAACAGCTCCTAGCTTCATCAGTAAATATACAGTGCAAAGAGAAGAAGGTCAACACAACTAATTTTGCACGAATGGCACTGATTTATAGGATGAACGGCGATGTTTTCTAACTAATGTAGTCCAACCAGCATTTACAGAGTAATTAAATTTGTTGGAATTTAAAGGCCATTCTGAACTCCACCAGCGTGCAATCCAATTAATATTAAAGGATAATGAATACTGAATATGAATGGATTTATAAAGCTAATGTAGTTACAGTAGAAGTGTTAGAGCAAATAGGAAAATTGCACAAACATATTGGGCATGAAGAACGAAAATAAGCGACTTACAGTATGAGGGTGAGGATGGAGCCTTTATGCTAATGCGATCACGGAGTATGCCACATGCCCATAAGATCTTCAAAATTTTGCGAATGTCCTCATCAACCCCATCACATTCGATGTTGACAATCTTGAGGTGCGCACACATGAATGATTGTTCTATTGGTTTTTGGGCCCCTCTTGCTCTAGTGAGGCTCTATATAATGCAAAACACTCAGTAAGACAATAGCACATATGTGATGATACCTTATACACAGAGCATACCTTTATACCACCAAGCTGAAGAGTGAGCATCTCAAGAAGTGGAGAGTGTTGGAGAATGCAAACTAGGTCAATAGCTGTGAACCATTCATTGAGTAACAAAGTCTTTAAGTTGAAAAATGTTGGGCACCATTCCAAATCCCATGTATAGATAAACTGGACAGATTGCAAATGAAGAAAAAGAAGTCAACATCGGGTTGATACTTTTAGTTCCAAAAGTAAGGACAAAACTAGACCTCAAGCACCAGAAGTATCACACTTTATCCGATTAAGACACTATGTTACTAATTCATTGACTTGAGAGCCATTGGTATAGACAGAATCATGGAAGTATTGAACTGTGGTAATGAAAAGAAAGCAAGTTGCTTATATGCAGATCTAAGAATTGATATTACAAGGGAAACTGCGGGTAGCAAATGACACTAAGGGTAAGAAAGGCAGTAAGTGCAAGCATACCACTTGACGTACAGCTATCAACTCCAAATTGACAGCATTGGACAGACCATTGAGAAGCACACCCCCCTCTTCGGGATAAGTATGACAACCACAGTCATACAAACCACAACCCTTCAGGCGCATATCTTCACACCAATCGTGACATGCACGGTCAAGCCCAACATAGGCTGTTACTAGAGATGGCATGTCCTCAAGGAAAGGGGTCACGCCATCAAAATCATCAACTTGCAGTGAGACAAGATCCGGTGCACAAATCCGAATGCGGAAATCCAAAGGGACCACGCAGAAATCAGTGATGCAGAGACGCTTGAGTGACTTGGATGATATCTTCTGCACATAAACGTTGCAATGCCGCAGCTTGAGATCCTCTAATACCGGGCAGCCGCTGAAGTCCAAACCAGGGAATTCTAGGCAAACCCAGTGAAGGTCTATGGTCTTCAGGTGCTGGGAAATGAGAGGCACATCGAATATTGGTGGGTCAAGGCCATCAATGTCCTCGACGTCAACGGGGCTGAGTGTGAGCTCCTCGGTCTGGCACGCTAGGACATAATCAATCAACAGCTTGGTGGTGTTTGTGAACGCTTCCGGTGGATCACCAGGATAGACATTGATCTCACACTTGACGAGAGGCGAGTGCCCGCTGAGGTTGGTGACCAGCTTCGCTAGCTGTTCGAAACGCTCGCAGCTACAGGCACTTGACCTCTTGTCAAAGAAGAGGATCAGGCTGGTCGCGCGTCTCCAAAGGTCATGCCACCGGGTGTCGAGCACGCAGGTCTGCAGGGCATCGTCCGCTGGCAGAAAGGACAGGACATGCCGGAGGAGCTCGTCGGGCAGGACACGGAAGGGATCCTCGCCGCTGCCAGAAGCAACCGTATGCATTCCGTCGAGCAGGTTGTGGGCAACCCTTCTGTAGGAGAGGACAGAAATGAGCAGACCATAGATCGAAGCCCTAGGTGGAATGTAGCATCACCAAATCGGTGAATTTGATCTAGCGTCGAGCTGTAAAGAAAGGTACGCATAGACCCACCTCAACTCGGGGACCGCCGGAAGCGCAGGTCGCCGGCGACCGCGGCCCGCGGGTAGTGGCAGATCCGAGGTCCTCCTCACCAGCGCGTGCCCGCCTATGGACCCCGCGCCAACGTCCCTCTCCACACGCGTTGGACGGGTGCAAGCAATTAGCGAGCGAGCGGCCGACGGGAAGCCCTCTGTTACTTGGCGCCGGAGGGGACTAGTGGAGCACCTGAGCAGTGGAAGAAGGGGTGGCAGCTGGGCCGCGGTCCCGGGCACGGGGGGTCGACGGCGCGCCTTGACCCGTCGTCTGCACGCAGCAAATCGCCGGCGCAAGATAGGGTCGTGGCTCACTGGCTCTAGTGAGGGGGAGAGACGAACAGAGGAGGAAGAGGATCAAATTCCTTATTTGTCCATTTCTTAAAATTTGCGTTTTTCTTTTTTCAAGAAAATATTTTATTTCCCTTTTGGCGCTCGATCTCCTTTTTTGTAAGCTCACTCGAGATCTTCATTTTGTTCGCTTCACAACACTTCCGTCAGTTCTGTGCTCAAACAGTGCACCTACATTTTGAGTAATTTTTAGTATTTTTTTACAGAGCTTCTTGGATGTCATTTGACCACCAAATTTTGCGGGCATCTATAACATTTGTTCATAACCATTCTCACAAAGTCTTCGATGTTTTTTAAATGTTTGCTATGTTTTCTTGCGTGGGTATAGCATGGGTGCACCGAGCTAGGTGTAGAAAACCCACTCTTTTTTCCATTAATGAAAACGTAGCAATGTTCGAAACATAACTTAATCTCCCTGACCATTCCCAGTTCAACAAAGTGGAAAAAGTCTTGCTAAGTCGCGCCAAACAAACCACAAAGATGGGAGGGGCAAACTAAACTTCGCCGTAACAGGCTAACGGCCAACAAATGGCCACCATTACAGATACTAAGTCTTCAGACGAACATCTTAATTGCCAGCACTTGATGAAGCTATCAGTCTTCACACCCACCACGCACCTTAGTCGCTATCACTTCACGAAGCTGCACAAACAAGACAAGGCACAATAAGTTGCAAAGGAACTTTTCCAGAGTTTCGATGAATTGAAAACCGGTCCTGCTTCGCTCTTGCTTCGTGGTCTTGAGCAAGGAACTACTCAGGTCTAAAGATGTTCTCAGTTTACCTTGGATTGCGGTTTGACGTAGAGGACCTAAACTGCAACCTGACTAAATTTCGGTGTAGCTGTTAACAAAAGGATTTTGAGGGCAACATCAACACAAATATGACCATTTAGAGAGGGCTTAAGACAGGCTTTTAAGGCTCGAAACAAGTCTGGAAGGCATGCAGTTTGGCTACCAGTCACTGTTAATCAGACTGACAACAGCCTCGGGCAACAGTAAATACAACGAGAGGCACAGGCAGTCCTTGTTGGATAGATGTGGAGCAATACATTTCACATTCTACCCGCTATCAGTTTCTAGCAAAATGTATTATGTGAAATGGAACACAGGAGCTAAACTGAATTTCAAGATGACAACATATACTATTTTCTTAACTAAACAGTAAAATGAAAGAATTTTTTTTGTACTGCAAGTAATAGAAGAAAGTGAATAAAAAAGAAACGATGCTGCACATATGGTACAGATTTATAGGCACATCTGAAATGTGCGCTAACTACTGTGGTGTCACCAGCGATTATAAACCGTGCTCAAATATAACAAGCATTCTGAACTCCATCATCACTAAAGGATAATGGATACAAAATATGGATAGCTTTGGAGGGGGTGTGATACCTTCTAATTGATTTGTAATTACAGCTCACATGTTAGAACTAGCACAAAGTGGTGCCCTTCATTCTGATTAATAATCGATAGTACTAAATATGGACAAGGTAACTTACAAATGGAGTTCTACCATGGCCACATGTCACTGAAGCTAATTTGCTCACGAAGTATGCCACATGCACTCAACATGTTCAAAATTTCGTGAACACCCTGATCAACTTCATGACATTCAATGGTGACCGCCAAACGGCGCGCACACACGAAGGATTGTTCTACAGTTTCTTTGGATCCTGTTGCTCCTACAGAGCTCTACAAGATACATAACATTCAGCAAGACAGAAAAACAGACAAGATAACACCATATTACTGATACAAGAACATATTTGTATAAAATTACTATACCTTGACAATATCGACCCTAAGAGTGAGCATCTCAAGAACTGGAGAATGTTGGAGAATGCAATCTAGGTCAATAGCCATAAACCAATTATTGAGTGTCAGAGTCTTCAATTTGCCAAATACGGGGCACCATTCCAGATCCCATATGTAGATAAACTGGACAAATTGCAAATGAACCAAAAAAAGATTGAGACTCTTTAAGACAAAATAATTAGTAGAAACTTCAGTCAGATACTGTAATTTCAGAACTAAAAAAAGGAAAAACTACACAATAGGCCCCTGAACTATAATTAATATATTGATTCAGGGCCCACTGGGTGAAGATAAAGTGAGCATGTTGTGCTGATGTAAATAAGCAACTTTACGCTGCTCTAACAATGGATATAAATACTGCAAGAGCAATCGTGGGTGGCAACTCGCAAATAACAATAAGAGTAAGAAAGACAGTGCAAGCCATACCACTCCAGGTTCAGCAGCCAATACCAAATCAACAGCATTGGACAATTTGTCGAGAAGCAAGCACTCTCTTATCACGAATAAGGCTTTGTCTAACCGGTTGTGCGCGTAACTAGTATCTCTGCCGCTTGCTTGCTGCTCCATATGGATCCACACCCTTTGCATGCGCATGGCCCCTCTTCCTGTCTTTTTTTCTGCTCACTGACACATGCATGCCTACATGAACACATGCATGCATACAGCATCTTTCCTCTCTCCTCAAAACTCATTACTTTTAGTTTTCTTTTGACAGTTTAGATGGTTCATATCTTAAAAATAAGGCTTTTGTTTTTTATTTTTATTTTTATATTTGATCTTCCGGCGTTAAGATCTTTAGAACAAGATCAGTCTTGCATAAATTTTAAACACATTTTTGTTAACCGAAATTGAAATACAATTTTATAGTAGCTTACCAGTGTTTTTAGTGAGGAACTTTGCTGGAAACAATGAAGAACTTATAATTTTTATTGTAAAGTTCTAAATAAGTAGAACCAGGAGTTGAAGAACTTTCTAAATATTGGGTCTGCACTTTGTAAGAAATACTAAAGAACTTTTCCAAAAATGTATTTGGACCTGAAGAATTTTATGAACAGCTTGTTTGAACTTTTATGAAAAGTTTATGGAACTTTGTTAGAAACATATTGATATTGGACTTGTTTCGTAGAGCTGGTTATGATAAACTCAAATACATAAATGAATTTAAATTTTGCACAATTTATATAGAAGTTTCTCTACCAATATGGTGCAGTAGCTAATTAGTACATGGGGCTGAAAAGGCTAGTGAGATTCTTTGTACCCGACCATAGGGTCAACCGATTTGACCTGCATGCATGCTTGATGGATGTACTGATTTGACATGCATGCATGCTTGATGGATGGACAGGATATGCGTTGCGCGCCCAAGCAGTTAGACAAAATCCACACTCATTATCACAGCATTCACAGGAAGGGTCATTAAAATCCTCATGGTTAGTTTGGTTACTTTCGCAGGAATCATGGTGGCATGAACCTTCAAGAATAACAAATGCTGTTTCCAGCAATGGCATCTCCCCAAACCAAGGAGTCAAGCCCTCAAACTCATCTAGTTCCAGTGAGATAAGACTCGGGGCATCAATATATATGTGGAAATCCTCAGGGAAAGAATAATGCTTAATGAACGACATATGCTTTAGTGATTCAGAACATATCCTGTGAGCGTAGGTGCTGCAATGTTCCATTCTTAGCTCCTCTAATACTGGGCAGCTCGAAAAATCCACTGAGAAATCTACGAAGTCAACACGTACAAAATCTATGACCCTTAAATGCCGGGAGATGAGATGGGCATCGAGAGTAATGGTAAGTCATCATAGTCAGCAGCAGAAACTGCGAGATCCTCGACCTGACACTTTAGAGCGTAGTCGATCAACAGTTTGGGTGGTGTTTGGTTCTCTAGTCCTAGGACTTTTTCTAGTCCCTAGGACTTTTTGAAAAAGACTCTCATGAAGGTGCTTCTAAGGACTTTTAGCAAAAAATCCCAAAAAGTCCCTCCCTGTTTGGTTTGCTAAGGACTTTTAGGGACTTTTTTTAGTCCCAACACAAAAAAAGTCCCTGAAACCAAACACTCCCTTGGTCGTTGTGAATGAATCATCATAGGTCTCAGACCCCGGCGTCTCAGTCCCAGTCCCACCTATGCCTGGATTCTCGATCTTGCAGTGGGTCAGAGGTGGATTATCAGCTTCACCAACTGTTTGAAACACTCGCATCTGTAACTTGACCAGTCGTCAGAGGTGAAGCGCATCCTGGTTTTGCGCCTCCAGATGTCGCGCCACCGTGTGCCGAGCACACACGTCTGCATGGCATTGCCCGCCGGCAGAAAGGACAGGATGTGCTGGAGCAGGTCGTCGGGGAGGAGGCGGAAGGGGTCCTCGCCGGCGCCAGCAGCCTGCTTGAGCATCTCGTCGAGCAGGTGGTGGGCGCTGCGGGAGCGGGAGAACAAAATTAGTAGTAGAAGCACGAGGGAAGAGGGGAATCCGTCGCCTCAATGGCCGGATCTTGGATCGATTCACATCACTATGTCAGGAACGAAGGGAAGAACGAAACATCACATGAACTCTTGACTCGTGGACCCGGGAGCAGGAAGACGCCGATGATATCCGGCCGTCCTGCCGCTGCCGGCGTCCCGTCAGTGAGGAGCTCGTGGGGCTAGCGGGCGCGCAAGACCGGCCAGGTGAGGGCGGCGGCGTTTGGGTGGATTGGGGAGGGAGAAGAAGAGGGGAAGCGAAGGGGATTGAGGAAATGCAGCGGCGCATTAACTTACTCCGGCTTCTCCACTGCTTGTGGGCGACATGACCACCCTTGATGGATGTTGCAACGATTAATTTGAGGACAATGGAGTACTACCTTCGTCCGGGTTTATTAGACGAGAAATGCTACACTTACACGCTCATTCCTACTGAATGGACTTACAGGCTGAGCTGGGAAACATTGATTGGAATCAGTAGAGAGTGGGTCCCACACTAGAAATCAAGAGGAGGAAGAGAGACTGGTGGAGAGGAGTCCGTAAGTGGTTTCCGTGGAAATTTTGCCCGTAAGTGTAGAATTATTGGGGACCCTCTTTTATTTTGAGCCAGAGTTTGATCATGAATTTAACTAATAAAATATAACTATATGTCACGAAAACTATATCATAGAAAACCTCTTTCAAATACAAATCCAACAATATACTTTGTGTAACATATACTTTATACATTTTTAGTTAAATACATGGACAAACTTGGATCCAAAATACAAAGAGGCCTAATAAACCCAGACGGAGGTAGTAGAGGCTAAGGGGAGGCAGCGAATCATCTGGGCTACGGATTTGTCGATTAGTTGATTCTCGAAATAAGGTCATTTGGAAAAAAAAACTGCCGCTTTCTTAAGACTTCAAACGAACGACTAGTCATTAAGAAACGGCGCGCTTATTTATCTACTCAAAGGACAACCTCTAGACTAAATCTGCTGAGGGGAGGGACAATTGTCGGAGATCGCAGATCGTTTGCAAGTTCTTTGGCATGGCTAAGTCGGCTATCACCCCTCTCCGTGCCTTCCCCGCATTCTGCATCCCATCGCCCCCCTCTCATCGCCTCCTTTTTTCGCACCAGCGGATGCACGCTCGATCGTACCGTCGTCGTAACCATTAAGTTATTAACACTCAATATTATATAGTACTCCCTCCGTTTCTAAATATAAGTCTTTTTAGAGATTCTAATAAGGGACTACATCCGGAGCAAAATGAGTGAATCTACACTCTAAAATATGTCTATATACATCTGTATGTAGTTCCTTATTGAAATCTTTAAAAAGACTTATATTTAGGAATGGAGGAAGTACATTGTATGAGAATTAATGGTCAAAACATGAATCTGAGCCGTCAAACTGCGCGGAGGGAGTAAAGTGGTCTTGCATCAGCAGATCGTTGGTACTGCGTGAAAATGATTCCTTTCCGTAGTGATGATGCTCTAACAAAGTGGCCCGTGGACCAAGCCGTTGCGGACCAGTACGTCTTCGCTCTGCGGCTGCGGCTGTGCATGAGCAACGCGCGCCGGGCTCGAATCAAAAACCCAGCGCCAGCAACGGGGACAGCCAACGGGGAAGCAAAGCACAACAGAATGGCGGCCCTGCAGGCTGCACCTCCGGCCCCTCCCCCTCCTCGCGCAGCAAGCCCTCCGCCGTGCCATCGCGCCACCCATCCCCAACCGCCGCTTCCTCAGCTCCTCCTTCCCGCCAGCAGCAGCCGCCTCCGCCTCCCCGTCCCCGTCCGGCAGCGCTGGCTCGCTCCTGCCGACGAGCGCCACGGCCGTCGTGCCGGCCGCGCGCGGCGCTGGATCCCTCGGCCTCCATCAGCGAGGTGGGATGTCTGGCTGGCTCCTTTCGTCGTCGGCGGCATTGCTCCACCACGCCGCGCCCTGGTCAGGCTTCGGTCCGCCGTCCGTACGTCCTCCGCTACTCCTCCGGGTCCGGGGAGAAGAAAGTTTGCGTGTTTTTTGGTCGTTTGCTCACGCCTTTCGTTCATGGGGCCTCCCCTACCCCTACCCAGGGCGCACTGGACAACGACCCCCGCAGATCACATGGTGCTCATGCTCCTGGGCGCCAACGCGTCCGTCTTCATGCTCTGGCGCGTGCTCGCGTATCCCGCCTTCATGGCGGATCCTTACATGGTTAGTAGCGACTTGATGCTGGTTTCAAATCACTACCCGCAAAATATAATAAATCATAAACCACAAAACAAAATCACTCGACGATCCTGTGGACATATGAGCAGGTTTCGCTGGACTTGAACTTGGGCGGACGTCTGCACACGCTGCTCATGAGCACCTCCAGCCTCGTGGATCCAGCGTTCATGGTGAAACATTTCATGGTTAGTTGTTAGTACTAGGTTACACAACATAAGGGTTAATTAATTTTTACGGAAATTAATATACTAGTACTATCACCTGGTGATTTTGTCGATGAGCGTTCATGCATGCAGGTTTCGCTGCCTGGTTTGGTGCGTTGGCGTTTCCACACATTGCTCACGTATGCTTTCAGCCACGTAGATCCTAAACACCTCTTCAACAATATGTTTGGCCTCTACTTCTTCGGCTCAAGTGTAATGAATCCCTTCACTCATCTTGTTGCCGATCGATGTAGAAATCTATCACATGCTTGTTTGTCAGGCTGAAATTTCCAAGGGCATGCATAAATTCAGTTGATAGGACTTCTCTTTATTAGCCTTCTTGTATTGGGCTATTGGCACTCCAACTAACATTATTATACATGCTTCTTGATAAAAATGCCTCTTTTTGACTGGAAATATGTTTTTATCTACTCACTCCGTACCATAATATTTATTTATTTATCGCGAAAATGATCTAGTTTTATGATAGTGCATTGGTTGTATTAACATATTATGGGACGGAGAGAGTAGATTTCAAGCAAGTGGTAGTATTACTCGCTTGCTCCTAAAAGAGATGAAACATTATAGTATTTGATAAGGATTGATTGAGTGAATTACCTCTGCTTATCCTTTGTTTTTCTTACATGGTGAAACTGTAATACACTTTTACTCTACCAAAAGCAGTTGGTTTCGCCTGAATTTCTTTAAATGAAATCACCGCTTTTCACTATTCTAATAATGTTTTATTATGTGTATTATCTAATAATGTAAGGCAGTGTTTTTAAAAGTTGTACTGGCGCCACGAGACTTTGGAGATATATACTCCATCCTTTGGACTGAATTTTAGTATCAACAAAGAGCAATGATACCCTATCACCAACCTTGTGGTTCATTAACCAATATTAACATTTGGTAGTATGTTTTGTATGATGACCAATTATTACCTTTCTAGCACATGTTTGAATTTTCTTCTTTTTTTGCATCAGGTTGCAAGAGAGTTTGGTCCTGCTTTTCTTTTAAAGTTGTACGTAGCAGGAGCACTTAGTGGGGCTCTGTTCTACTTGGCTGAAATGTTATTTCTAGCTCCACGGAGACAGGTAACATGCTTACGACATCAACGTATATGCATTAGGGAACTGGATTCCAAATCCTGGACATCAATTACTTCTGATTATCAAATGAAATCCTATGATATGATTATCTTGGGTTTACCACTTCATTTTTTGTGGTACTTCTGTGTGAGAAGGTTGGTATTCAGTCACTTCGCCGCTCATGCTAGCTACTGGATGCTAGCAAATCGTCTAGGATCTAGTGCTAAGATCTGAAACTTCGCATTGATTCAGACTTTTTTTAAAGTTCAGTGGTAAACTGATAATCTTCCTAATTTCACAAGTAATATATGCTTCTCTAGCAGGGTCCTGGTGGATGGTTAACTCCTTGCCTTGTAAGTGAATTCCTGTCTTATATTCGCATCATCTATTACAGTGAAATTTGCCCCGACCGACCAACTATTTTTCATCTTATACAAAGAAAAATATTTTATGGAAAATGCGATGATCAGAGGGGAATCGATACAGTGATTTCTTGGTATAATATGAAACCACTAAATGGAAACCGTTGGTGTTTTTGTACAAATGTTGGATGTTGCACACTAACTATGATCCTTAATTTTATGTCACTCAGGGTGCAAGTGCTGCAGTTAATGCAACTGTTCTTCTCGAGATCTTTCTGTATCCAAAGAAACTAATATACTTACACTTCTTTCTTCCTGTTCCAGCTGCATTAGTGGTGAGGAGATTTTTTTTAATTAAAAGATATGTTAAACATGTGGGTGCAAGTTAGTGAGAACATAATTTCTTTGTCTTATACTTATTTCAGGGAGCTGGTTTGATTATTGTTGATTTGTGGAGGGTCAAGAAGGTATTTATTTAATTGCAATATCTATGTTGTTTTTTCTTTATATGTTTATTCTCTATTAATAAGCGGATGTTATTTGTGCGACTGTAGCTTATGTTCGTTGGCCATGATTTTTGACGACATCACTTATACTTTCATGTATTGTTACTTGAAATCAAAAATTTGTGAATTGCACGTGTGTGGTTCATAACCATATGATGCATATAGCTCAGGGTCTTTAATTGACGTGGGGTTGAAAATATGGCTCAATATTCAGACCTGGGGAGAGTCGCGATAGTCGTAAATTCACATCGATATGATTAATGTGCATTACTGAGTATATAATCATTTGATTTTTTTGGTTGTAATCCTCCTCGTATGGTTTTCTACCTTTTGTTGTACCTTTTTGTGATCATTGCTTCTACTTGATAGTGCAATACATCTACCTCGAGTCACTCTCTCGCCTTGCAGTGTCATCCACTTAATATACTAGTTATGCCATGTCAAACTACACCATTTCTTAAAGATGTAGCCCTGTCTGAAATCTTTAATTTCTGCATATTAGTCCAATTAATGTTGTTAGTGATCTGATACCCAAAGTACTATTCATGTTCTGATAAAATGAATTCTTCATGCCTTTTCGTGTTTAGAATGCAACTAACAGGTGCTTATTGATTTTTTTTCAGGGTCAGAGCCGCGTGTCAGGCTCTTCTCATCTAGGGGGTGCCCTAGTCGCCGCGGTTGCGTTTGCGGACATCAAGGGCTGGATCTGATCAGGCAGTTTACTCATACTCACATGCAGCAAATCCAAGGGCCTGCCTGCCTCCACACTGGTAGCCACTTGTTGGGTTGAAATTTGTTGTTATTGGACTACTATCAACGGTACGAGGGACGACTGGTTGAATAGGCTACTTATTATCCAAGTTTGTGATGTAGATGTCTTTAAAGAAAGTCTAGATAACATCATGGTTGTGGTTACGAGGCCGGTTGCGGCCACCATGCATTGTTCTTTTTGTATGCGATCCTGCGTATCACATGGATATACTTTTGTAGACTGTTATCCACACACTTCTAGCTAGCATTTGCCGGTGCATTCTTGCATGTGCATTCTGTTCTAGCAATGGGTGACACATACATATGATGCACACTGAAAACGCTGAACTTGATGCCTTTCTCTTGTTAGGTTTGTTCTATTATTTCTGATGGTGCAACCAGGCATAAGAATACCGCATGAAAACAAAAAGATAGTATCATCGCAAATACTTCCAATTGATTGGCAAAAATCTATGAATCCTAGTTTATCATCGCAGGAGCCATCCTCAAACATGACAGAACTAGAAATGCCTCATGTTGGTGGTTGTGCATTTTGCAGATGCATCAATGAGCATGAGGTTCCTGATGTCTCTTGTGGGTGGCGGGTGGATGCACTGTGAGCAGCGAGTTCCTAGCCATGATCATGGCAAAGCGGTCATCACTGATCCACGGCATGCACCAACCACCACGCTAATGTGGGGCGTCCGCTTGGTGCAGAGATAAATAGGTATAATTATGTTCAAGAACCTGTTATCGTTGAAGATGACCCCTAGGATAGTCTCTCTAAGCACTCCTGCAGGGCATGAAGCTGGCCTGAGCTGAGCATAGTACTAGAGAAAAAAGGATACAAGTTTCCGTTGCCGATAACACAAACATCTCAATGCGCTTCCCAACCTCCATTAAAAAACATAGCAATGTTCTGACGGCTATCATTTTGCTAAGTTGCACATTCCCAATTCAACAAAGTAGAAACCGTTTTGCTAAGTTGCATCAGACACATATTTCCAGCAGAGACACATTGCCAGAATTACAGATTCTTTAGAAACAGAAGTCTTTAGACGAACATCAAGACCAAGTGCACATCATACTCGCTATATGTGAAGAAAAAGAACGTTGTGCAGACGAGACAAATCACTATAAGTTTGGCAAGAAGACGTCCTCGGTTGACCTAGTGTGGAATTTCAAATATCCCTCACAACAGTTTCATATAGAGCAACTTATGCTGCAACCTGACTAAATTCGTTAGTTGCTAAAAGAGTTTAGCCTTGTGAGGAACAGCAACACAAATATGGACACTCAGAGAGGCCTCGAGATTCGAGAGGGCTTGAGGCGAGAGAATAACAAGTCCTCTAATGATCTCATGTTTAAAAATCAAATTTAATTGTTACAAAAAGTTCTGAAATTTTTGTGAATGTTCACAAGACATGTGTCTACGACCCCTTAAACTTTCAAATCCAGATACGAAATAAACACGGGAAGCAAAAAAAAGACAAATCTAGATGTGTTAGTGTGAAAATTTTTGCTTTTGTCTTTTTGTGACACTATTCATGTTGGATTTGTCTCTTTTCTTTCTCCATGTGTATTTTGAATTTGGATTTAAAATTTGAGGGACTGTAGAAGCATGTCTTGTTGACATCCACAAGTATTTTGGAACTTTTTGGAACAGTTAAATTTGATTTATTTATTTATTTGTAAACATGGGAGCATGTGAGTGTTGGAGCACCTCAGACCTTCTCGGCTTTAGGATTGAAAGAAGTTGGAACATGTTCTACTAATCTCCATTAATCAAACTGACAACATGCTCACACAACAATTAATACATGCATCGAGGCAAATGCAACAATTACCATGTACATTCTCTCCACTGTTTTTTTTTTTTTTTGCGGGGCACATTCCCTCCACTATTAATTCTTAGTAAAATGTATTCTACATAATAGACCACAGGAGAAGAGCTAAACTAAATTTGAAGGTGAAAATGGCTATTGTTTTTGTTAGTGACTAAGCAGAAAAATGATAATAGAACTTTTGAACTAAAAAAGAAAGAGACGAGAGTAAAAAAACAAAAACTGATTTGCATGGTTAGTACAGATTTGTAGGCGCATAAAAAATGGGTGCCAACTATTTTAGAGTAATCGTGGGCCTTAAAACCTGAAATGGTAGATGTTTTTGGTGGGTCTGATAAATTGGAAAGGAGAGACTATATATGATTCTTCGTTTTTTAATTTCAGTGTTCCTTACTGTTGACAGATGATCGATCTTCCACGTACGCACATTCACTCACTCGTCAGTGAGCGAGCCTGCCAACCTGCTTGCCGATGTTGCGGTCGTGGAAGAGCGAGCCCGTGAGAGCACGGTGCGCGGGGTCGAGTTGAGTCAAGCCCCGTCGGCGACCCATGACTTGTGGTATCACTAGAGCGTAATCAATCAACAACTTTGTGTTTGTGAACGGTTTCTATGGCACACCATCAACCCCATCACTATAAGCATTGATTTTCCATTGAGATGTATCATGTATGGCCAGCTTTGCCAACTCTTCGAAACGCTTGTAGGTCAGGTTCCTGACCTCTCATCAAAGATGAGGAGCAGGCTGGTTGCATGCCTCTAAAGGTGCTCCTGGTTGCATGCCTCTAAAGGTCGCGGCACCGGTTGTCGAGCACACGGGTCTGCAGGGCCTCATCCAACGACCCCGATGAAAAGGGCAACACACGCCATAGGATGTCACCGGGGAGGAGGCCGAAGCGATGATCGACAACTTCCGCAGCCATACCGCACATTCCTTCAAGCATTGGCAGGTGTTGCACCGGAGCAGGAAAACAAAAATCATTAGAAAAACAAGAACAAAGTAGTTATCTGTTGTTGCCGCAACGTGGCATCCAATGACCCCATTCACTCGCTTATATATCTGTAGGTATCAAATCTGAGACTTACAAACCATCATACTCAGCACAAGATGACCAGAATCAGAACAAAGACAGCAAGTTTCAGACTGGACAGAGGCAAGAGGTTCAAAACCACTATCCTGTCTTCAAGACCAAGATGAAACATTGAAAGGGAATGATAATTTTAACTTCAACTTCTTCTGAGGTTACACTCAAGCAGCAACGTGACTATTTCTTCAGATCGGACTAAGTTTCCTCTTGATATGTTGAAGATTGTGGGAACAGCAGTATCGTTTCGATCTGAAGGAATAGTACAGTTCCGGTGTATACTGATGACGCACAGGGACATAAGAGATGCATTTACAATACTGGTAATATATTGATGATGATCAACAAAATATGTATGTAACCATCATTTAGATTCCTCGGCAGATTATAAAAAACATAGCAACATTTTAACCATCATTTAGATTCCCGGCAGATTCCTGACAAAGTGGAAAACGTCTTGTTAAGTTGCACCAAACAAACCACAAAGACGGATTTCCAGCAGAGACCAAAGATGGGAAGCAAAAACAGAACTTCACAGTCACAGGTTAACGACCAACACATGGCCACCATTGCAGATTCTTTACAGAGAAACATAAGTCGAACATCATGACCGACCAAACATCTTAGTCGCTATCAGTGGAGTCACTATCAGCAGACGAATCTGCACAAACAAGGCAAGTCACAAACATAGAAGAGAATTTCAAATATCCTGGGTAGCGGTTTGATGTAGAGGAATTATACTACAGCCTGACCAAATTTCTGTAGTTGTTAACAGAGAGCCTTGTAAGGGCAACACCAACGCAAATATGACCATACAGAGAGGCCTCGAGACTGCTTGAGGCTTAAACAAGTGTGGAATGTATGCCATTACGCTATCAGTCTCTGTTAATCAGACTGACAATTGGCTCGGGCCTCGAGCAACTGTAAATAAAGTGATGCAAAGGCCATCCTTGCTGGATGGATGCAGAGCACTATATTATACTCCCTCCGCCCCATAATATAAGATCTTTTTGCAAGCTATGTTGGGCGGAGGGAGTACATTCTAACCAGTATCTATTCTTGGTTAATGTATTCCACCAAATGGAACATGAGAGAAAAGTTAAACTGGATTTCAAGATGAGAACAGCCACTATTGTCATTAGTAATTAAACAGTAAAAGGATAAGATAAGTACTTGAACTGAAAAGAAGAGCAGAGAATTAAAAAAATGATTTTGCATGGATGGTATAGATCTATAAGCACACCAGAAATGCGTGCTAACTATTGTAGTGTCACCAACAATTCCGGAATTCAAGATGATTACAGCTACTATTTTCATCACCAACCAAACAGTAAAAGGATTAGATAATTTATTGAACTGAAAAAAAAAGAGAAGAGAATAATAAAAATATTTTGCATGGCTGGTACAGATCTAGACACATCAGAAATTTGTGCTAATTATTGTAGTGTCATCAGAAATTACAGAATAATAAACTGTGTTGAAATACAATAGCCATTCTAAACTCCATCAGCATTCAAATCCAATTAATACAAAAGGATAATGAATACAAAATCTGGATGGACTTGGGGGTGGTATCAGACATCCTAATTATTATATCAGACATGTTAGAATAGGTAGGAAGGGTAACTTACAATCTGAGTCCGGACGTGGATCCTCCTTGATGCTAATTTGGTCACGAAGTATGCCGAATCTACCTAACATATTCAAAATTTCACGAACCCCCTTATCAACCTTTTCACATTCAATGTAAACAAACTTAAGGCATGCACACGTAAGTGGTTGTTTTATTGTTTCCTGGGCTCCTGTTGCTCCTACAATATTCTACCAGATAAGAGCACTTCGTAAGACAAATTGAGCATCCATGATAACACCTTAAATAAAACAGCAACGTTGTTATCTATACAGCATATACCTTAGTGTTATCGAACCGAAGAGTGAGCATCTCAAGAACTGGAGAGTGTTGGAGAATGCAAACTAGGTCAATAGCCGTAAACCATTTATTGAGTAACAGAGTCTTTAATTTGCCAAAGACGGGGGACCATTTCAAATCCCATCTGTAGAGAAACTGGACAAATTGCAAAGAATAAAAAATAAATTCAGACTCAAGAGGATAAAATAATTTATGTTATAAGAACCTGAAGTATCATATTTTATCCAATCAAGACATTATGTTATTAGCCATCGACTTGAGACGCATTACATTAAGATAAAGTACCAAAATGCAACAATGAAAGTAAACAGCTTGTTTATCTGCAGTTCTAACAATGGATAGATATACGACAAGACAAACTTTGGGTGACAAATAACAAGAGTAGAAACGACAGTAAGGGCAAGTGTACCATTTTAGGTAAAGCTATCAAGTCCAACTTGGCAGCATTGGACAAACCATTGAGAAGCACCCCCTCCTTGACAGGATAAGTATGACAACCACAGACAAAATTATCACAAACCCCCCGATTACTACGACAATGATCATGGCATCCATCATCAAGGTTAACATGAGTTGTTTGTAGCAATGGCATGTTTTCAAGAAAAGGTGTCAAGCCTTCAAAATCCTCTAGCTGCAGTGAGATAAGACTCGGGGCACAAATCCGAAGGCGCATGATGTCAGGTAAAGAACAACAGTCGATGATGTATAGGCGCTTTACTGATTTGGATGACATCTTGCGTGCATGGATATTGCAGAATTGAATTGTTAGGGCATGTACAATGCATAGCCTCAAGGTGATGCCTCGCATGATATGTAGGATCAGATATGACGTAAAGTAGGTTCGGATAGGAAAGCGGGATCCTCTCCAGGAGGCGGGTGCTTGAAGAGAAAATGTGTGGTCCGGCAACAAAAGCTGAAAAGGTTAGAGTAAAAAGTAGAGATGCATGTGTACTAGAGTCTTTATTTTTCTATTTTTTAATGAGGCCCATTAATGGTAGCTTGCATTAAGGAGAAAAAATAAACGTAGATGCCTCAAATTACTTTTTGTTATGGGGCATATGTATCCATATGCCACCATTGTACACGCCCTTAGATCCTCTAAGACTGGGCAGCCTGAGAACTTCAGGTCAGAGCAGTCAAGGTTCACCCGTTCAAGGTGTATGGTCCTGAGGTGTTGGGAGATGAGACTGAGAGGCACATCGAACACTGGTTGGTCATATTGAACATCAGCAGCTCTTACCACGAGCTCCTCAGCTTTGCATGCTAGAGCGTAGTCAATCAACAGCCTGGTGTTTGTGAACGTGTCCTCTGGCTCATCGTCGGGATAGGCATCGATCTCAAATCGAACGGTTGTATCGCGGGAAGGTTGGCCCGTCGAAGACAAATAGCAGGCTGGTCGCGTGCCTCCAGAGGTCGCGCCAGCGGGTGTCCAGCACGCAGGTCTGCAGGGCATTGTCCGCCGGCAGGAAGGACAGGACACGCCATTGGAGCTCTCCAGGGAGGTCTCCAAAAGGGTCTCGGTCACTCGCAGCAGCCATCTCGAGCATTCCGTCGAACAGGTGGCGGGCACTGCGGGAGCGGAGAGAAATCAGCAAACCAGGCGCAGTCGAATGTGGCATCACCAAATCAGGGAATCATGTACTAGCTTTCTCTAAGGAGATAAAGAGACTGGAATCACCTCAATTCGCGACAGCCGGAAGCGCCGGCCGCCGGCAACCGCGGGGAAGAGGGAGAGCGGGAGGACTCCTCCGTTACTGGGTGCTGGCAGATCCGAAGTCCTCCGCCCACCGCGTGCCCGCCGACGAAACCCTCGCCAAACTTCCTTCTCCAAGCGCGCTGGACGGGTACAGGCTACGAGCGAGCGGCCGACGGGAAGCCCTCGCTTCCTTGGCGTCGGAGTTGGAAGGGGAGCACCGGAGCAGACGAAGATGGGGCGGCGGCTAGCGTGCGGTCGCGAGCACGGGGGATGGGGTTCGACGGCGAGACTGACCCATCACATCCACGCAGCACAGCGCCGTCGTCAAAGGCCTCCGGACTGTCTCACGTGTCCGCAAGACCTTGTCTAAAAAAATGTGTCCGCAAGAGCACCTGACGTGCGAGGCCCACTCTGAACTGGCCGGGTTTCTTTACCTAATAACTAGTAAAACGGCCCGTACGTTGTAACGATAGAGAAAAAAAATCATAACATCCTGTGGTCATGACCACATTTTGCTCCATCAGGAGATATAATATCACCTTCATTTTCGTTAACTCGTGAACAATTTTTAAAAATCATCAACATTTTTAAACTCGTGAACACATCTTATATTATGAACATTTTTCGAATTTATGAACATTTTTACAGACTTTCATACATTTTCTAAAATTATGAACAGTTTCAAAATGAACGAACATTTATACTATTTGCAAAAAAATTGTGAACATTTTTAAAGCAATTTCATTGAATCGGCGAACATTTGTAGAATCGGCGAAATTTTTATCTGGATTTTCGTAAATCATGAACAGTTTTTGAATTTTTAGGATATTTTTCCATTCATGAACATTTTTTAAATTGGTGAAATTTTGTTCAGTTTCATTAACTTTTTCAATACACGAACTTTTTACAAAAATCATGATTTTTTTTAATTTTTCAGCCACTTATTTTTCAAAATTGTGAAGATTTTTGCAAGATGCGAATATTTTTTAAAAATCACAAATATTTTATGAATCCATGAACATTTATGAATTATTAAATATTTTATTTCAAAGTTCTCAATTTTAAAAAAATGGAACTTTTTGGAAGTCCCAAATTATTTAAAGAAAAAAAAGAACAATGAAAAGAAAAAGGAGAATAAAATAAAATTCCAACTTCAAAAAACAGGCCGCCCGGACATGGGCCGGCCCAAACAGGCGCGCTATGTCTTCTCCCAGTGCGCAGAGCGCAGTATAGAAAGTTTCTACTACATGGGCCAGCCCAGTCGGGGATTCCCCTTTGTGAAACGTTGTTTATCATTTATAGGAGAGCAACTAGCTAATGACGCTCCTTCGGGAGCATCGCAACGATCAACGGTACTTGGCACGCTCTCAGTCATTCGCCACATGTCGCGCTCCGGGCGCTTCCTCCGGATTTTTTTTATTTTTATTTTTCCGCATGCGTTTTTGGCTTTTTATATGGGGTTTTTTCGGTTTTTTCGATGTTTTGGTTTTCCATCGGTCTTCCTTAGCTTTTCAAAAAACAAAAAATTTGAAAAAAAAATTGCACGAAAAAACGTGTTTTTATTTTTTCCCTTTCGCGAGAGGCACGGTTTTGCTTTCACGAGAGTCACGACCGTGCCTCTCGGAAACGAAAAAACATGTTTTTACTTTTTTTTTCTTCTGCGAGAGTCACAGTTCTGCTTCCGCAAGAGGCACGGGTGTGCTTTCGCAAGAGTCACGGCCGTGCCTCTCGGAAACAGAAAAAAATGCATTTTTTATTTTTTTTCTTTCACGAGAGTCACGGTTTTACTTCCGCGAGAGGCACGGTTGTGATTTAGCGAGAGTCACGGCCGTGCCTCTCAGAAACGAAAAATACGTGTTTTCTGTTTTTTGTTCTTTCGCGAGAGTCACGGTTTTTCTTCCGCGAGAGGGACGGTCGTGCTTTCGCGAGAGTCACGGCCGTGCCTCATGGAAACGAAAAAACGTGTTTTCTGTTTTTTTCCTTTCGCGAGAGTCACGGTTTTGCTTTCGCGAGAGGCATGGTTGTGCTTTCACGAGAGTCACGGTCGTGCCTCCTTGGAAATGGAAAAAGAAAACACGTTTTCTCTTTTATTTTTCTTCCGCGAGAGATACGGTTGTGATTTCGTGAGAGGCACGGGCGTGCCTCTTTTAGAAAAGAAAAAACCCGTGCTTTCAGTTCGGTTTTTTCGTCCGGTTTTTTCGTAAAAAAAGTTCATCAAAACCTATCAACATGGGATCTAATTTGGAAGATTTCTACGTGAGGAATCCAACGGTGAAAGCGGTTCGAGATTTGGGCGCAAGATTTGATAGATAAAACGTTTTGAATAAACGGATCTACAAAAAAAGAGAAAACTCTCATGTTACGACAAGTAGCGCACTGCATAGGCGCCATTTGTCGCAACCATGGGAGTTGGAGTGACCTTTGCAACGAGTACTCCTCAACTAGTGATTTTGCACTTATAGGTGGCATCGGCGGGTAATATTTTGCAATTTTGAGGGCAATTTCGATGACGTACCACCAGAAGCAATAACCCTTTATTAATAAGTACTAGAAAAAGGGCACGTGTGTTGCAACAGGAGAAAAAAAACATATCACAATCTTCAATGTAATTATATAACACTTATTTAATTTAATTTTTGCAAACGTCAGAAATAAAGTTACATTAAGTATTTCTTTTTGGACTATGGAATTTGGACATATTGTAGCAATGTTTGTCATGACCCATTTCAGCTCTTCGATGAAAGTGTCTTTCAATCATTTTTATTTTTGTTGTTCAGAAAAACATGAATATATATTTAATTTAAGAAAGTGTTTTTTCTAATTTGTTAGAATATTTTTTAAATGGAATCATTTTTATGGTGACTAACATTTTTTGGAATATTATATTTCATTTGTAATAGGTTTTGTGAGAGCATCAAACTATGATGCATCCTAAACATAATTTTAAAATGATTAACATGGAGGATAATAGCATATTAAAAATGTACACATTTTTCTGAGAAATTTTCATATATAACATGTTAGGATTTGACAGATATCATTATTTTTAAAATATTTGAATTTGAAAAAGGAAATTAAACAAAGATGCATGTCGGGTCGAGCAGCGATGACGGGGTTCATCCAAAAGAAAAGAAAGAAAAAGAGGGGGGGGGGGCAGAGAACGAACCCGGGTCTACCGGTAGGCACATATGCTTGTGATATATGAGAGTGTTGCCTTATATGAACCAAGCCAAGGCGGATGCAGCCGCAGTGAAACGTTTTTTCTCATTTACCGGTGGCATAGTGGGTAATTAGTGTGAGAACTTCAGGGGCAATTTTCCTGACGGACGACCAGAAGCACTATTTGCTTTATTATTATTAGGGAAAGATATAGATATAATAAAGTACAGAGTGCTTCTGTCCATTCATCGTCATTCAAATTACCCTTGAAGCTGGCGAGAATTACTCACCAACGCCATTCGTAAGTGGCAAAAATATTCATTTTTTACTAATATAATGTCCGTGCGTTGCAACGGGATATAAGTATTTACAGTACATTAAGTTGTGATTTAGCTGTCCATAATATGCAAATTGAGTAAATAAATGTTCATCAAATTTTGTCCGTGATTTACCTTATATTTTGATTAGAAGTTCTTTATGTGCCCATAGTATGCGACGGTGTAAATAAATGTTCATCAAATTTTGCCCGAGGTTTACCTTATATATTTTGATCACAAGTTTGGCAAATAATTAAAGTAGAATTCGTTCAGAAGATAAGTAAATTAAGATGATGATTATTATACGGAAAAAGTTGGACGAAGAGACGGTGGAAAGAAATGTGAAACGGGAACCTTGCGTCCTTTTTAAATAGTAGAGATTAAGTGGCCGCCAGTTCAGTTTGGTTGATCTACAGCTATGCCCTCACATTGTCACAAATACACCACCACCCGAGTGGCTAGGGCGTCACTTCCCCATCCGGGAGACCAAGGCTTGATCATAGCATCTCCCATTTTTTCAGTCTTTTCTGCCCAAATTTCAATTGGCGTAAGATAGAGTAGCCTCGCTGCACGGTTCAATTTCGGCACATCTATATTTTTAATTTTCTTTTTCATGGATTCGATTACTTTTTAAAG